GTCCTCCAAACCACTACCACTTATACATTATAATAGTCCTCCGAAACACCACCACTTATACATTATAATAGTCCTCCAAAACACTGCCACTTATGCATTATAATAGTCCTCACAAAACACTACCACATATGCATTATAATAGTTCTCCAAATCACTACCACATATACATTATCACATATACATTATAATATTTCTCCAAACCACTACCACTTGTACATTATAATAGTCCTCTCAAAACACTACCACATATGCATTATAATAGTTCTCCAAACCACTTCCACATATACATTATAATAGTCCTCCATAACACTACCACATATACATTATAACATTCCTCCAAAACACTACCACATATACATTATAATAGTTCTCCAAACCACTACCACATATACATTATAATAGTCCTCCAAAACACTACCACATATACATTATAATAGTACTCCAAAACACTACCACTTATACATTATAATAGTCCTCCGAACCACTACCACATATACATTAAAATAGTCCTCCATAACACTACCACATATACATTAAAATAGTCCTCCATAACACTACCACATATACATTAAAATAGTCCTCCATAACACTACCACATATACATTAAAATAGTCCTCCATAACACTACCACATATACATTAAAATAGTCCTCCATAACACTACCACATATACATTAAAATAGTCCTCCATAACACTACCACATATACATTCAATAACAGGGATTGTATAGTAAGCCACTTGCTTTAAATGTCTTCATTTACAATCCCATTTAAACTTGCAAATATATTGTATTTATACATTCAATACAAAGGGATAGGGTCTTTTGTTACCAAGAAGTGATATTCCTTGGGTATTCTCAACTCCTGAAAAATGTGATATTTGTTTTATTATATTGCACGCATATAGTAGATAAAAAATATCTATGAGAGGCGGTCATTGGTTCATCAAAATGGAATACTGAGAGTTAATTTGAATATTAAGATATAACAAATGAATTGTGGCCTACGAATTTATACTGCGGACAATATCATCTTGTATGCAGTATCGTTAATCCTTTAAACATTGTTAGACATACAATGTGTTTCCGTTATTAACATGTAAACTGTTATTGATACATAAAAGTCTTACACATATTGTTACAAGGAATTCATCATTAAGAACAAATATATTACACAGTATAATGTCTCAAACAGATATGTCACGAACTGTTTTTGCCTCGTATTTATCAATGTTATCTAGATTTACAAAATATTATGCAACATTAAGTTGTTTGTTCACCCATGGCAATCGAAGCCGTCCGATAAAAACCACGACCGACGTTTATNGTGGGGGGGGGGGGGGGGGGGGGGGGGGTCGCTCATCATATTTGCTAAATATGATGGCGTCAAATTCTTTGTAATCAATGATCACTAGTATTCAATTCAAATTTTCCTTTATTATAACAGACATTAATCAAATAATGAAATAAAACTGATGGCATATATATTTGTGAAATAGTTTTATAGTAGCTTGATTCAGATAATAACAAAGTTTTATTTGGAGTATTCTCCCTTTTATACAGAAGATGAAGCAGACAAAAGAAGTTGTTTTTTGGCTTAGAGTAACTTCCCCTGTCAAGTTTTGCAAAGACCTTGCGGCCCTACAATTTGACTCTCTATATGGGTACTGTTAAGTTATAATTCCTGAATGGAAACATTAGTAAAGTTCGATCCCTGCAGCTTTTGAAATATTCAAATTTCGATCAAGTATATTGCTATCAAATGAATCGCAACATGTGACTTTAACAAACAGTTCACCCTAGTTTAACTTGCTGGTAACCTTCATCTTAAATAAATGGATTGATCGACCTCTAAATGCAATTCGATGTTTTCTAATTTTCATGACGGGTTATTGATCTAGAGATTTTACGCCAATCTAAAATTTAAAGAATTTTTAAGTTGCAGGAAGTAGCTCTACACCACATCGTTATACCAGCGAAGCCCAATTTGCTACCGTACCCTCTATCTATAATGCCCTTGATCCATTCATTGTGGCATTTGTTTACAGCACCGGCAGGCCTCCGCGGGTTTCCACAACAGCCTGTTGACGACGCAGAAGGCTTCATTGGGATTCACGACGCAGGTATGTAGCCATCTTTATTTTGTGTGAAACATTTTCTCAGTTTTTATCCCAATCCAGTAACGAAACCTTTCATAGGTAAATGTTCGTTTGATGTTACATATATAGGGAGGTTTCAGCCTTTCAAAAAATATAACATTCCATTCTGAAAAAAACCCCAACAACATTATTTACCTAAATACCAGAAAGAACAATGTTTATTATGAACCTTGTGACTCTTACTAAAATGATACATTCAGGTCTAAGGCCATGCAGGACAAGGTTGTCAATATCACTGTTTGATATAACAAGATATTGCCTTAATGCCAGTACACCTTTTATCTCCAACTCATCAGTGGTTAGTAACTGTTCAAATCAACAAAGCCCGAATGGAGTCCCAACAGTTCAGCCCCATTCGGCTCTATGTTAATGTGACGTCATTAATTCGTCTTGTTTTCGCAATTGTTGTTAGGGGAAGCCAATTGTTGTTAGGGGAAGCCAATTGTTGTTAGGGGAAGCCAATTGTTGTAAGGGGAAGCCAATAGACCGTTTCTATGAGGTCATGATAAGTTATGTTTTGCAGAAAATATCATACACAAATAAACCAGTTAAAGGTGTGAAATAAAAGCGATACAACACGTGTGTTAATCCGAGTCTTCATCAAGTCTTCGATTGCACGCGAGCATTGGGCGTATGAATATATTTCACAAGGGCTTAAGCCCAAGTGATATGTATGCTTTTACGTTATAAAACAACCTCATGCATTCAAATAACCCCATCACATAGTTTTTTTTATATATAAAGCACGTGTTATGTCACTCATTGGGATGTAACAATGAACGAATTCGTTATAAAAAGACAATGACGTCACAAATTCTCGTCAGTTACAAAACTTTTTTCCGTCTTTTATAATAGCAAAATGTCCAATTTGATATACTTTTAATTATATTTCTATATTCATGATATGTATGTTAAAGAATAAGTATGATATGTGTCCATAAAATAATCAATAATTCAACATTGAAAAACGTAACTCTTACGAAAGTGCATAATGACTAATTAAACTGAATAATTAAATACTATAGATTTTCTAAGCCCTCTTCAATTACGTATTTGTTATTAGATATTGTTTCAGCTATGTATCTATATACAAGCTTGACCGTACATTTATATGAACAATACTGGTTAGTTTTCATTGCTGTGAGTGAATAAAAAGTCCAAGCATTTGTCCAGAAATAATTTTTACTTGATATATCTGTATGTACCATATACATTGCTGAAAATCATATAATTCTAAATTACAGAAGGACGACCGAAGCCTGTGAATGATGTGTATGCTGAGGTTGTCAGACCAAGTAGCAACAGTAATGCAATAATCCATTTTTTATAAATAAAAGTTCACCTCTTGTTACAGAACATTTCTTTTCCTTTATTATCAAGTCGGAGTAAGTTCTATTTACCGCGATTCTAACTATTTACTTTGAGATTAAACGATTCTTGCCTTATTTTAATTAGTTTCAACGTCGGCCCCACCATAGAAAAAAACTTATTACTTGCGTTATCTGCCGTAAAGATCATTTGCCACATTTCTACCGCCTGCCTTTATCTACAACCTGTCCTTATATAACGCCTGTACATATATACCACTTGTCTATTTGTTAAACAATTCTATATCTACCATCTGTCCTTATTTACCGCCTGTACATATATACCCCTTTTCTTTATGGTCAATAATTCTATATCTACCACCTGTCCTTATTTACCGCCTGTACATATATACCATTTGTCTCTTTGTTAAATAATTCTATATCTACCACCTGTCCTTATTTACCGCCTGTACATATATACCACTTGTCTCTATGTTAAACAATTCTTTATCTACCACCTGTCCTTATTTACCGCCTAAACAAATATACCACTTGTCTCTACGTTAAATAATTTTATATCTACCGCCTATATTAGTTTACCACCTGCACATATATACCACTTGTCTCTATGTTAAACAATTCTATATCTACCACCTGTCCTTATTTACCGCCTGTACATATATACCTCTTATCGCTATGTTAAATAATTCTATACCTACCACCTGTCCTTATTTACCACCTGTACATATATTTCACTTGTCTCTACGTTAAACAATTATGTATCTACCACCTGTCCTTATTTGCCAACTGTACAAATACACCACTTGGCTCTACGTTAATTAATTTTATATCTTCCGCCTATATTAGTTTACCACCTGCACATATATACCACTTGTCTCTATCTTAAACAATTATATATCTACCACCTGTCCTTATTTACCGCCTGTACATATATACCACTTGTCTCTAAATAAAACAATTCTATATCTACAACCTGTCTTTAAATCTAACGCCTGTACAAATATACCACTTGTCTCTATTTTAAACAAATATATATCTACCATTTGTCCTTATTTACCGCGTGTGCAAATATACCACTTGTCGCTATATTAAACAAATCTATATCTCCCACCTGTCCTTATTTACCGCCTGTACATGTATACCACTTGTCTCTATGTTAAACAATTCTATATCTACCATCTGTCTCTATATCTACCGCCTGTACATATATACCACTTGTCTCTATGTTAAACAAATATATATCTACCACTTGTCCTTATTTACCGCGTGTGCAAATATACCACTTGTCGCTATATTAAACAAATCTATATCTACCACCTGTCCTTATTTACCGCCTGTACATATATACCACTTGTCTCTGTGTTAAACAATTCTATATCTACCACCTGTCCTTATTTACCACCTGTACATATAAACCACTTGTCTCTATGTTAAATAATTCTTTATCTACCACCTGCCATTATCTACCGCCTGTACAAATATACCACTTGTCTCTATATTAAACAATTCTATATCTACCATCTGCATATATCTACCGCCCGTACAAATATATCACTTGTCTCTATATCAAACAAATCTATATCTACCACCTGTCCTTATTTACCGCCTGTATAACTATACCAGTTGTCTCTATGTTAAATAATTTTATATCTACCACCTGTCCTTATTTACCGCCTGTACATATATATATCATTTGTCTCTATATGTTAAACAATTTTATATCTCCCACCTGTCCTTATTTACCGCCTGTACATATATATACCACTTGTCTCTATGTTAAACAATTCTATATCTACATGTACCACCTGTCCTTATTTACCGCCTGTACATATATATACCACTTGTCTCTATGTTAAACAATTCTATATCTACCACCTGTCCTTATTTACCGCCTGTACATATATACCACTTGTCTCTATGTTAAACAATTCTATATCTACCACCTGTCCTTATTTACCGCCTGTACATATATACCACTTGTCTCTATGTTAAACAATTCTATATCTACCACCTGTCCTTATTTACCGCCTGTACATATATACCACTTGTATCTATGTTAAATAATTCTATATCTACCACCTGTCCTTATTTACCGCCTGTACATATATACCACTTGTCTCTTTGTTAAATAATTATATATCTACCACCTGTCCTTATTTACCGCCTAAACAAATATACCACTTATCGCTATGTTAAATAATTCTATACCTACCACCTGTCCTTATTTACCGCCTGTACATATATACCACTTGTCTCTTTGTTAAACAATTATATATCTACCACCTGTCCTTATTTACCGCCTAAACAAATATACCACTTATCGCTATGTTAAATAATTCTATACCTACCACCTGTCCTTATTTACCATCTGTACATATATTTCACTTGTCTCTACGTTAAACAATTATGTATCTACCACCTGTCCTTATTTGCCAACTGTACAAATACACCACTCGGCTCTACGTTAATTAATTTTATATCTACCGCCTATATTAGTTTACCACCTGCACATATATACCACTTGTCTCTATGTTAAACAATTCTATATCTACAACCTGTCTTTAAATCTAACGCCTGTACAAATATACCACTTGTCTCTAAATAAAACAATTCTATATCGACCATCTGTCTATATATCTACCGCCTGTACATATATACCACTTGTCTCTATGTTAAAGAAATATATATCTACCACTTGTCCTTATTTACCGCGTGTACAAATATACCACTTGTCGCTATATTAAACAAATCTATATCTACCACCTGTCCTTATTTACAGCCTGTACATATATACCTCTTATCGCTATGTTAAATAATTTTATATCTCTATGTTAAACAATTCTATATCTCCCACCTGTCCTTATTTCCCGCCTGTACATATACACCACTTGTCTCTATTTTAAATAATTCTTTATCTACCACCTGCCCTTATTTAACGCCTGTACATATATACCTCTTATCGCTATGTTAAATAATTTTATATCAACCACCTGTCCTTATTTGCCGCCTGTATAACTATACCAGTTGTCTCTATGTTAATCAATTCTATATCTACCGCCTATATTAGTTTACCACTATGTTAAATAATTTTATATCTACCACCTGTCCTTATTTAACGCCTGTACATATATATACCCTTTGTCTCTATATGTTAAACAATTTTATATCTACCACCTGTCCTTATTTACCGCCTGTACATATATATACCACTTGTCTCTACGTTAAACAATTCTATATCTACCACCTGTCCTTATTTACCGCCTGTACATATATACCACTTGTCTCTACGTTAAATAATTCTATATCTACCGCTTATATTAATTTACCGCCTGTACATATATACCACTTGTCTCTACGTTAAATAATTCTATATCTACCGCTTATATTAATTTACCACCTGTACATATATACCACTTGTCTCTATGTTAAACAAATCTATATCTACATGTACCACCTGTCCTTATTTACCGCCTGTACATATATACCACTTGTCTCTACGTTAAACAATTCTATATCTACCACCTATATTAATTTACCACCTGTACATATATACCACTTGTCTATATGTTAAACAATTCTATATCTACCACCTGTCTTATCTAACGCCTGTACAAATATACCACTTGTCTCTATATTAAACAATTATATATCTACCTTCTGTCTATATAACTACCGCCTGTACATATATACCACTTGTCTTTATCTTAAACAAATCTATATCTACCACATGTCATTATTTGGCGCCTGTACAAATATACCACTTGTCTCTATATTAAACAAATCTATATCTACCACCTGTCCTTATTTATCGCCAGTACATATATACCTCTTGTCTCTATGTTAAACAATTTTATATCTACCACCTGTCCTTATTTACCGCCTGTACATATATACCACTTGTCTCTATGTTAAATAATTCTATATCTACCACCTGCCTTTATATCTACCCCTTGTACATATATACCACTTGTCTAAACAATTCTATATCTACCACCTGTCCTTATTTACCACCTGCACATATATACCACTTGTCTCTATGTTAAACAAATCTATATCTACCACCTGTCCTTATTTACCGCCTGTATATATATACTACTTGTCTCTATGTTAAATTATTCTATATCTACCACCTATATTAATTTACCACCTGTACATATACACCATTTCTCTCTATGTTAAATAATTCTTTATCTACAACTTCTTTTAATCTTCTGCATTTACATATAGATACCTTTATCTCTACGTTGAATATTTCTTGTTTACCGCCTGTATATTTGTACCGTCTTTACATTTATCCAACCTGTGTAGAAGTCCTTTCTTTCTTTATCTACCACCTGTCCTTATTTACCGCCTGTACAAATATACCACTTGTCTCTATGTTAAATAATTCTTTATCTACCACCTGCCTTTATATCTACCGCCTGTACAAATATACCACTTGTCTCTATATTAAACAATTCTATATCTACCATCCGCATATATCTACCGAATTTACCACCTGTACATATATACCACTTGTCTATATGTTAAAATCTTTTTATATCTACCACCTGTCGCCTGTATAACTATACCAGTTGTTTCTATGTTAAATAATTTTATATCTACCCCCTGTCCTTATTTACCGCCTGTACATATATATACCACTTGTCTCTATATGTTAAACAATTTTATATCTACAACCTGTCCTTATTTACCGCCTGTACATATATATACCACTTGTCTCTATATTAAACAATTCTTTATCTACCACCTGTCCTTATTTACCGCCTGTACATATATACCACTTGTCTCTACGTTAAATAATTCTATATCTACCGCCTATATTAATTTACCACCTGTACATATACACCACTTATTTCTATGTTAAACAATTCTATATCTACATGTACCACCTGTCCTTATTTACCGCCTTTACATATATACAGCACTTGTCTCTATGTTAAACATTTCTATATCTACCGCCTATATTAGTTTAC